CAGGTTTTACAGTCGAACTGAGGGCTGAGTCCTGCTCTGTGATCTCCAGATCTGGGGTGTGACTTTGGCAAGAGCCTACTCAAACCTGTTTCCTCATCTCCCTTGTGGGTACCCAGAGCCATGGGGCTCTCGCAGGAAAGTAAGATACAGTCTGTTCTTGTTATTTGCAGTGTGATGTTCTGTAAAGTTGCAGAGACACTGAACCTGTGAATGCTGAACCCTTGCTCCTTGGGGAAATATAGGCTCACTGCATTTTTTCATCAACTGACCAACACATAACTTTGCCTCATTTGTGTTTCTCTTTTAAAGACATCTTATATGTATATATATATACAGTTGTTGTTCAGTCACTAAGTTGTATCCAACTCTTTGCAGCGACCCTATGGGCTGCAGCACACCAAGGTCCTCTGTCCTCCACAATTTCCCAGAGCTTGCTCAGACTCATGTCCATTAAGTTGGTGATGCCATCTAACCATCTCATTCTCTGCTGCCCTCTCTCTTTTTGCCCTCAATCTTTCCCAGCATCAGGGTCTTTTCCAATGAGGTGGCTCTTCAAAGCAGGTGGCCAAAGTATTATTGTTGATTCATTAATATTGAACTCACAGCCAACAGCACCTCATGCTTGCAGAAAGCTTACCTCGCACCTGTATTCTCTCTGTAAAGCACATCATTAGACAGCACTACCTCAGGGGTAGCATTGTAAATACAAAATCACCCAGAGAAAGCACAAAAATGCAAAATAAATGGCACTAAGGAGAGTGCTGGGAGGAAGGAGCCTTGCTTATGGGATGAGCTGGAACTGGAAGACAGACTGTTTGCCTGGTTCATCTCAGCTGGGAACATGGGAACCAGGCAACTCAGTTTTTTTTTTTCTGTTAGGAATGACCACAAAATTGTGGTGAGTATTGATCTTAAGGTTATAACTATATCTTAGTGAGTAGGTGAATTTGCAAGTACAGGATCAGTGAGGATGACTGACTGCAGTGCACCGACAGGGCCTCGCCCATGGTTGTCACATGGCACCAACTTATACGACTGTTTCCTCCTCCTACCAAGCATCTCACTTGGTGGCGATAGCAGGGTCCCCGCTCCTTGACCATGAGCTCCTGGTGGGCAATTGTGTTTCTCTCGATTGAAGTCTTAGGTGAAGCAGAGCATAGAACCTGGCAGAGAAATGGCCCGCGCACTTGGGTAGATAAAGGCAGTTGACTCACCTCTGACTCTGAGCCCTCATCTGTGAAAGGGGAAGCGTGGACCTGCCTGGCTCCCCAGGTGTGAAGACCCTCCACAGAGGAAATGTCTGGAAAGGGCCAGAACCTTCTCGGGAGATGCTACTCACAGGCCCTCAAGACAAAGGCCAGCAAAGATTCCCATTGTTCCAGGGCTGCCTTCACTTGCCCTTCCACCCATCCAAGACGCGGACCCAGACCAGCACCCCCTGCGGAATTAAGTGTCAGTCCACCTTCTGGCCATTAATCTCAAAGAGTCTATCAGGACCATTTGCATTAGCCCATTTTAAAAAAACCCCAGCTGGGTCCCAGCGGGCCAGACGTGGGCTCAGGAAACAGTGCTGCTGTAGCCAGCTAGAAGCAGAGGCTCCATGGCGTCCAGACTCCATCTTGGACCAAGCCCTGCACCACATGGTCTGTACCCCAGCCAACCTGACTGTGAGGATGTCATAGATGATCACCCCTGCAGAGGGGCGCCTCCTACCTGAGACCAGGGGTATTGATGAAGGCACCCTTGCTGGAGGACTCACCACCCCGGGCCCAAACTCTTGGGTGGGTGGGGAACAGCCTGGGTGGGTCCTTGGAACCTGAGCTTAGGTGCCTGGCAGAGACCAGGCGTGCTCCTGTGATAGAGAGTGGGAGGTGAGGCGAGAGTTCTGCAGACAGCCTGGGCCCCCGCCCCGCCTCCGCCGCCTCCCCCAACACACAGACTGTCCTTCCCGTGATGACCATGCAGCTTTCTTAATGGAACACAATCGCTGAACTTGGTACATTTCAAGCACTTTAGCCTTCCAGGACACCAGACTGCTGATGAAAACCATCTTCCGTGGGCGCCATGTTAATGAGAGGCCAAATTTCATATGCTTGCAAACTTTCCCCCCTCCTCCCACTGTACTGCACCCCACCCCCCCCTCGATAAAAGGTTGCATCAGAGAGAGAGAGAGATTTCCATAATTTATAGTATGGGCATTTCACTGGGGACAAGCGCTAATCTGTACTTACCGATACATTTAAGAAAATGCATCCTCCCACAAGCCTGCGCCATTTATGACTCTTGGCACAAACCGCAATGCTCAGTCTTCAATTAAGGGACACCTTAGGGTTCATTATCACACAATCGCTCCCTGTGAACCATGCCAAATGCTGTTTTGGCACGGAGCTTGGAAGATGAATTAGAAGGAAGTCTTCTCTGTAATGCCGGCTCCCTAAATCCCATTCCCACCATCAGCGTTTATGCCCTTCTCTGGCGCGACCCCCTCCTCCTTTCCAAGTGGCTTTCACTATTCAATTTCTCAACGTCAAAGTCGATTCTCTAGAGGTGTAGTCGGAGATGCCATGTCTCCTTTTTGTCTTCCGGCTCTCAACAGGCCTCAGAATGGCTGCAGATGGGCGGCTCTCCACACCCCTTGTTGGCCTAAAGGAGCCACAGATGCTTTTTTTCCCCCTCCTCTTAAGAGCCTGGGATAGAGAGAAGAAAAGGGACCAGAACGGGAGTCACACGCCATGAGAATGAACCATAAGGAGCTTCTAAACAGGGTCCTTCTTGCAGCCCTGTGTCTAAACCAAGAGGTGCCTCACGTGCAGGGCTCACAGCAGAGGGAGGCGAGCTCAGAGTCAACGGGAGAGCTCTGTTCAAAGCTGGTCGCTTCCATCAATGGGAAAGGAAGCAGGAGAGAGTTCAAAGGCCCATCTCCTTGCCCCCTCAAAAACCCTCCAGTCCAGGGCCCACACCGTGTCCATGTGTCGTGAATCCATAGGGCCCTCCCTGGCTTCAACTCGTGGGTAAGGGCACCCCTTTTTGTCTCCTTCATGAAAACAGTGAAACACTTCCCAGCTCGCCCAGCCGCCCAGGTCCCACCACTGTTGTGGGCTCAGAGAAAAGAGCACCCATCCAGCGAAGGGGCGGGCCCCGGGCCGTGGATGCATCGGGCCATGTCCAGGCCGCCCTGTTTAGGTTCCGACTTCCCAGGGGTGTGCGGGGTGATGGGCGGGAGGGAGCTGACTCAGGCGCGGGAACATGCGTGGACCCCCCTGCCCCCCGGATCGTGACTCCCCTCAATGAATCCGGCTCCACTTACAAGGACAGCGCCCCAACGCAGGGAGACCCGTTGTAGGCTTCTTGGTGTCACACCCATGTCTAGAGATGCGTAGATGTGACTGACAGGTAAGAGGGGCTGATGGTAACCAAGGCTCTAAAGTCAAAACTGTCAGATGATGCATAGCCATCAAGATAAAATTAGTTTAACGAAGGAGTTGCAAATGCAACTGCAAATGCAGACTGTGCTCCGATCAACTTGGGGCCACGCAGCACAAGGTGATGGGCTGAGACGCCTTGCCTTTCTTTGCTGGGGTGGGCAGGGGTGGGCAGTGGGCAGGGGCCAAGGGAGTAACAAGAAGACGGGAAGCAAACAGACTGAAAAATACTTTGCCCACAAGATGTCTTGTGGAAATTTTATTATGTAGAGTGTAAAATGAATTGTCAGTCAAATAAAAAGAACACGTCTTTTTTTTTCTTTAAAAAACATGCATAACATTTTCCAATTGCCTTTTTTAATAGTTAGACATTTCAAGCATTATAAGGAAAAAAAGGAGAAAACCCCCCCCCAGACACTGTAACTTCAGTACATCTCAAACGGAATGTCCCCCAGGTCAACTGAAAAATGCAAGAAAAAAATAGCATCAATTCCGTTTTTCTTTCCTTTAAAAATACATGTTACCTGTACAAGATACACTACAGTAAACATTGGAAATCATATTATCCCTTTTATTAAATCAAAATTATTTAATTCATATTGCGGTTAATGCTAGATTTATTCATCTAGTTAATTTGACAAATATTAAGAAAATATTTAAAAGAAAAAAGCAAAAAACACCTTGGAATTAAAAAATAGTTACTACATTTTTATGCGGTTTAATGTTCCACAGTGTTTGTTAAAAGTTATACTGAATTTATTTTTAATATTAAAAATAACAGTATTTATATTTCTGAGAGAATAGAGAAAGGTTTTTTGTTTTGTTTTTAAAACAAGCTTGGAGGTCTTAGATACACAATTGCAACTGGTAGATAATGGAGACATGAAAAAACATCTGCTAAACACACAAAAACATTTTTATATTATTAACCCCTTTAGAACTCTAGAAATTATACAAACCCTATAAAATGCCCCCTCCCGATCCCTGTTGGACAGCAATACAATTATCTGTCTCAATTCAGAATTCACATAATTAATTACAATACATAATAGTTCAGTTTTTTAAAAAATGCAATAAAACCAGACAGCCAAGATACAAGAAATTAGAAGTAAAACATTTAATGAATTTACACATTTAAGAATATTTAAATACTGTTTAAAAATTTTTTTAAAGAATTTGTTACAAACCACCTAAGACTTCCAAGCCACTTTTTCTGTTGCAACAGAAAAAACTGTAAATAAAAAGACACACGAACAAAACAAAAACAGAACACACCATGTTGAAATGTCACTGCTCTGAGGCATATTCTGGTGCCAGAATTTGCAGGTATTGCTCCAAAAAGATTCCCAGAGCTTACACATTTGAAGTAACAAACAAAAATAATGAAACAAAAATTATCAGCGATTTTTAGTAACTAATTCTCCCGATTTTTAGAAAAATTCTGTTAATCTAAATATAGTGTTTCACAGAACAAAACAAAGGTTCTTCATCAAAGGGTTTGCAAATCTAAAAACCTCTGTTACAAATAGGTTTCTGCTCACAATGATTTTCAGGGGAGGGGAGCCGCGGGTCATGGTCCTACTGTTCCTGTGGAAGGAAGGGGGAGACAGGTTAGTCTGAAGGCAGAGTCTCAGATGCTGGTCTGCTGTCTGGGGCTCTGTCTGCAGAGAGGTAACGGGCGCTGGCACATGCGTGCTTGGGCGTGCACACACGCACACACACACGTGTGTGAGCACCGATGTCTCAGCACCTTCCCGGCCTCGCATCCCGGGATCTGGCCCAGACAAACTCTCACACGAGGCCTCGGGCACCTCCTTCCACAGGGGATTCCGGGCAGGGAGAGGGGAGTGAGCGAGTGACACTTCTCCTCGGTCACCTACTGCTCCCCCCGACTCCTGTCCCCACAGGGCCCAGTTTCCCAGGGAGACGACAGGCTGGTCTGGGGGTTCAGGGCCTGTGGTCACCAAGGGACTGTCCACAGGGACCTGACTGGTATCAGGTCACCTGAAGTGCGGCCTGCGGGAGTACTTGGTCCCCCTGTCTTCCCCGCATTTGGAAGAAAACTGTTTCTGGACAGAGCCCCTCTGGTTTCTGGCCTTTGAAGCAGAGGACTCGCCCTCCGCCTGCTGCCCCTCACTGCTGACCGGGGACAAGCGTGACAGCCTGGCCACCCCACCCTCTTCAAGAACAGCACTGGGCCGTGGCTACCACAGTCCCCAGGTGCAGTGCCACGCCTGCCCAGGGCTGGCTCAGCCTGGCACGCTCACTTACAACTGGGAGCCTGGGTCCAGAGGAAGGCACCGAGGCTGCTCAGCCCGGCGGTCTGGGTTTCCCTACGAGGCTCCAATCTGTTCCAGCAGGGGGGAGGAGGGGGCCAGGGTGGTGGCTCTGTACAGCTCGGGCCCCGGGTTCAGGCACACACAGAGGGCTTGGGTGGGGGGAGCGGAGGCCCGGGAGGTCCCAGCATCGCTGGCGATGGGCTACAGACCTGGCTGGGGGCCTGCGCCTGCCCTAACGTCTGCCCGTAGAAGGCGACCTGCTGCCGGTAGTACTCCGCCCAGGCCATGGTGTAGTCCGGCGGGGTGCTGGCCTGAGGCGCGGCGCTGGCGGCGTGACCTGATGGGCAAAGCAGACAGCCGGTTACTGGGAGGTGAAGGGCATGGTCAGCCTGCAGGGACCCCCTCCCAAAGCCTAGGGGGTGCCTGGACCGAGCGCCCGATGCCCACGCGGTCCAGCCAGATGTGGTCTGCCCAAGCAGGCTGCAGACAGCACGGTTATCAGCACTTCCTCGCTTGTGCCCTGCTCCACACCTAGTCCGCTTCTCTCATCAGTCATGTTCTCTGCATCCGTCTGTCTGTCCAGCCAGCTCCCTGCCAGTGCCTGGGGCCAGAGTGGGAGGCGGGAGGGTGAGGAAGCGGGTTCCCTGGCGGGGGTGTGTGTGTACATGCCGACACGGGGCATCCCCGCCCATGTGGGTCCAGAATCTGGACCGTGGGGGTTGCGGGGTCTGGGAGGACTGGGCGCGTGCAGCTTCACCAGGCGCTCCAGGAGACTGACCTCGCTGACGTCCGCCCCGGCCCCTAGAGGGGCTCCCAAACACAGGGCGACTGCTGCTCTGACTGCGCTCTTCCAAGCAGCAAGTGACATCCTTCGGACTCAAGACACGAGACACCCCTTCTGACCACACCTGCAAGCGCTGGTTCAGCAGATGTGGGATGCACACAGAGGGCTCAGGACTCATTTTAAATGATTCACTTGAGGTAAGTTGTTTTTTTTTGGTTGCTGTTATTAACTTTTCTCCTTCTCTTTTTTTTTAAAAAACTGAGTTAGTGGAGAAAACTGGCACAGCGAAGAGCTTACTTTGGAAGGAAACACCTCAGTCCCCACCCCGGCCTCAGAGACCTGGCTCAGAGTCTCACCTCCCTGTCTCACCTGCCCCGCGATGGCCAGGGAGAACCGGGCGGCGAGACGGCCAACAGCCCCCAGCTGGTCTGGTCCCTAACCAAGGGTCCTCACGTGGACGGCCCAGGCTGGCACTCGCCCCGGCGGAGCCCGGAAGGGAAGATCGAGGAGGGGAGGGCGGCAAAGGACACCCGCGCGTCTCGCTGACAGGGCTGGGGCAGGTGGCGGGGGAGGAGACAAGGCAGACGCCCAGACGGACGCAAGCAGGGCGCGCGGCGAAGGTGACAGCGAGCAACGGGCTCTGCAGTCCGCAGGCGTGGGGGCCCCGGGACAGGGACCCCCGAGAAGAGGCGGAAGCACTCACTCTGTTTTTTGTAGTAGTCCTCCCAGGCCTTGCTGTAGTCGGGCTGGCTGCTCTGCGGCTGGCTCTGCTGGCCTGTGCGGAGAACACAGAGGCGGTCAGGCCTACGGGCTCCCCGGCCCACGGGCTCCGAGCCCTGCTCTCCACACTCGCTCGCTGGCCCCGTGGCCTGGGAGGAAGGAGGCAGCAGGCCGGCTGGGGGAGAAGACAGGCCCGCCCTGGGAGGGCCCCACCCAGGCCAGAGGGGGAGGACGCCACTGAGCCCCCTGAGGCTGGGCCGACCAGCAGGAGCGGCCTTGACTCCCCCGGGTCAGAGACCTGGGCTTCCGGGGGCAGAGCCCGAGGCCCCGAGTGCTGTCTGCTGCTCCCTGGGTCGGCCCTCAAATGGACAGAGAGTCCAAGTGGCACTGACCACTCCCTTCCCCTGCCCTTTCTGTTCCAAGACTGATGGCTGCCTCTGGACAAGAAGAAAATTACAGGAGGCACAGGGAAAGTTCCAGAAACTGTGCTCAAGATGACAAGACGAAGCACACGCAGCAAGGGACTGATGCCAAAATGTATACCTGAGCCCCACTCAGCCCCGCGCTGCCCAGGGTGGGCTAGCAGGTGGAGGGCATGTGTGGGGTGGGCTGGCGGGCAGAGGGTGTGTGTGGGATGGCCCTGCCCTCCTCTCTGAGTTACTGGGTGCGGAAACGCTGGGGTGGGAGGCGCAGAGCAGCAGCAGCCTGCCTGGGGAATGGAGGCGGGGTTACTAGACTTGACCACAGACAAAGCAGGACCTTTCTTCTGCTGAGGGCTGGCCTGTGTGTCCATCTGTGAAGGCCCCACCAATGTCCCTTCAGCTAGAATCACCGCCTGCAGCAGGTGGGAAGCTCAGTTCAATCGCTCAGGCATGTCTGACTCTTTGTGACCCCGTGAACGGCAGCACGCCAGGCCTCCCTGTCCATCACCAACTCCTGGAGCTTGCTCAAACTCATGTCCATCAAGTTGGTAATGCCACCCAACCATCTCATCTTCGGGCAGGAAGGATGTACTCAAAATCAGGTTTCATGGCCAAATGCTTTCCCTAAGAGTTAATTTACTGAGGACTGAGAGGGGAATGGGGTTGGGGAAAGAGTCCCCTCCCTACACTGGGGCAGGACCAGACTCAGACTTGGACGCTGATGACAGGAGCCGTTGATTGGAGAAGGCAAGGCATGAGGAATGGGGCAGTGGGAGCGTCCCGCTCAGACGTGGAGGGTGTGGGCAACAGGATTTTTCTTCTCAACAAGGTTTCACAGACTAAAGCCAATTCTCAACTCCCCTGAGTAAACCAAGCCATGCCACAGATGAAGGCTGGTGGAAAAGCAGGACGAGCTGTGTCCCTCGGACTGGGTCCTGTGACTCTGCCAGCTCCTTACCCACCTGGGCCTGGGGCGGCAGCGGGGTGGGCTCTGCAGGACCCCCACCCACTCGGAGGTGGACGTGAACCCTGCGGCTTCACGGGAGAGCCTCCCCACAGCCAGGGGCTCCTCCCCGGTTTTCTGTCCTGGGTGATGGGCACGAGGGAGCCCGGCCAGGCCGCTTCCCATGCTGGGGGTGCCTTCTGATGTAACAGGAGGAAAGGAAGGGTACCGGGCTGTGGGGTGAGTGAGCACAGTGCAACGGGGAGGGGAGGACCTGGATGGTGGGAAGGTGTTCGTGGTGCAATTCTTAAGGATATTCTGCATGTTTAAGACGTTTTGTTAAGAAAATGCTGGGGAAGAGAAGGTAAAAAATACAGCCATGCAGTGTCAGAGCTCACGGGTACTTTAGAAATCAAATCCAAATCCTTCATTGCACTGACAACAGAACTGAAGCCCCAAAGAAGGGGGGACACACCTAAGGCCATCCAGCCAGGCTCCAGACTCCTGGGTGCCTCTCCAGCTATGGACCTGACAGGTGCCTGGGGCAGGGTTCACAGCCAGCGCTCTGCTGGGGCGGGGTAGGGTTCACAGCCAGCGCTCTGCTGGGGCGGAGCAGGGTGGGAAGGGGTGGAACCCCAGGCCCAGCCCGAGAGCAAAGCTGCAGCGTGTCCAGTGGCCTGGCGCTGAGGGAAGCCTGCCGACACGCTGAAGAGCGCTTTCCAAACACCACCAGGCTGGCCCTTCAGATGTCCAAAAACAAAAGAACAGAATGTAAACAATTTTGTGGGGCTTTTGGTTTTTTTGGGGGAAGCCTATGAAAAATAAGCTCTACCAGCAAGAGAACTCAAGAATGAGTTCCTGAAGCTGATGCGGGGCTAGAGAGAGAGCGTGGGTATGATTCCAACAACCTCTTTCTGTTTTACAATCAGTTTTTTTAGAGAGCAGATTCTCTAACTGTGTGTTTTCTGAAAGTTCAGGAGATAAGAGTCCCTTCCTAAGGTGGTGCCAGAGGGCAGACAGGGAGGAGGCCGCCTTGAGTCCAGAGGCAGAGAGCGGGTGGGCACCCAGTGTGGGGGAGGCAGGGTGTGGGGCGGGGGCGCTCAGGTCAAACCACACTCTCGGGGCCCGCAGGCCTCTCGGACCCTGGGCAGGGAACAGGGGTGAAGGCTGCAGCCCTGAGGAGGACAGGTAGGTGGGACAGAAGGGTTTGAGGAGTCATCAGGCCCTGTGTCCCCGCCCAGCTGGAGATAGCCCGAGGCCCCGGGAGGCCTGTCTGGGCCGGGGTCCCGCCTCCTCCGGATCACTTACTTGGAACCTGCTGTGTGGGCTGCTGCCACGCCTGGTAGGTGCTGCCCCAGCCCTGGGTCAGAAAGGCGGGAGGACCACTGCGGAGGACAAGGGCCATTCACTCCAGGCCAGGCCACACCCCCTCCCCACAGGAGTCCCCCTCCTCCCAGCCCCGGGGAGCACCAAGGTCTCCCGGAGCAGCCAGGGCACAGAGTAAAGGCAGGCCACCCACCTCACGGGGGCGCTATGGGGGTTTCCGTTCACTTTAGCAGCAATGTTTGGGAAGCATCCTGAGCTCCTTGGAGGAAAGGTGCTAAAAGAAAGCGGGAAACAGGTAAAGACAAGGGCTGCGGACCCAACACAGGAAGGGCTTTCACAAGACTCCCTTCCCTGACACAGCCCAGGGCAGGAAGCCCTCCCTGGGGAGGTTGGCCGGCCAGAGGACCCTCTGCCCTCTGGGCAGGCTCTCAGCCCAGCTATGGTCAGTGAGCCACGGACAGGCCAGAAGGACGACGGGGACGGGTGAGAGCGACAGGGATGGGTCCTGTCCACACCCCGGCCTTCCAGCTGGCATCTCCAGAAGCAGCTGGAAAGGAGGGCCATATGGGTGGACAGGGAATTCTCGCAGTCCAGATGGGTGCGGAAGACTCACTTTTGATGAGGTGCGGCAGGCGGCTGGCTGAAGGGGCTTTGTCCAAAGGGTCCAGGAGCTCCGAGACTGGTCCCCTGTCAGGGCACATAGGGGACTCTCACTGCCCGCTGGCCGCACCGGCGCCCTCTGCCCAGGCCCGCCCCGGGACGAACCACAGCCTCTGGGAAGACAGAGACTCGTGGGGTCAAGGCACCCTGCGGCACTCACTAGCCTTCCTTCCCCGTGGGAAGGGCCTGACTGTGGGAGCGGCTGCTGCCCCTCCGGCGGCCGGTGCACCACGCCGCTCGTCCTGCACCACCGCGCCTGCCCTGGCGTGCCGCCCTGGGGGAGGGACCAACCTGCTGGACTCTCCCGTCAACTTAGGCCGGCCCACGGCTCTTTCTGCCACTCTACGGCCCCTCTGAGGTGAGCAGTGGCCCATCTGTCCTCCATCAACACTCCCTTTCTTTATCTGCTTTGAGGCGCCTGAAACTAAAGCCAGAGTCAATGAACGCTGCCTGTGGGGCTGGCCGCTAGGGCGAGGCCCATGGGCGCCCGGGGGCAGAGCTGGGGGAGGCTGCCGCCCGGCTGCTCCTCTAGCCTGCGGGGCCGCGGCTCGGGCCGGAGCGGCGGTGGCCGGGGGAGCCCTGCGCGTCTGGGCCTGGCCACTGTCCCTGCGCCGAGACCTCGCCCCTCGGCAATGGGGGCAGGGGCTGCTGCCCTCACGGCACCGTGGGACCCAGAGGCCCAGGAAGCGTGAGGTTCTGGGGGGAAGCAGGTACCTCGGACATACGAAAGAAACCCCCACGACTTGGGTGGCAGGACCCGTGTACGTACGCCAACTTTCTCATCTATGAGGTGTCTGGCCACCTCGATCTGTGGAGGGAGCCCCCGGATGGTGAATATCCGCAGGTTGGGGTCGGTACTGGGAGGGGGGTTCCGCTGAAGCTCCACGTGTGCTCCCGACTGCTGATTTATGCTCTTGATGTTCTCGCCCCCTGTGGGTGGGAGGACAGATACAAAGATAAGCGGCGACTGCGGCAAACCCCAAGCTTGGAGTTCACCCAGTATTCTGCTCCAGAGGAGGAAGGGGAGTTTTCCGCCCACCAGCGCTTGTCCTATGAGTTGTCCTAAATCCTGTCCACTTATGCTTGAGAATGGTTCTAGTCAAAACTTGGGCTGTCTCAAGTGTGAAACCAGACTTCTGCGGTGAAGCTGGTCTTGCTCTCTGAGCCAGGCTGAGGCACAGACCCCTCAGAGCAGCCACTGGTCCCTGTCTCTGTGTCCTGGGCTAAAGTGCCCCAAATGCAGATTTACACACAATGAGCTCAGCTGGGGAAGGTGCTCCCTCCTTCTCAGCCCAAGGACAGCCACCCGATGGCCCCTCCCTGGCACAATGGGGTCTTTGGCCCCGGCAGGGGGCGGGGGGCGGTGACCGCACGGCTGGTTCCCTCTCGCCACAGGTCAAACAGACGGCCACGGGCCCAGCGACACCCAGAGCCCATCCAGAGCCCATCCGGCCTTTAATCCCCCATCCTTTCGCTTCTCAAGTCTCCACCTTCTCCGAGCGTGGGGGCGGGCCTAGACAGAGAGGCAGGCTGAGGATGGGGGGTAGGCAGGCTGAGGATGGGGGTCACAGAGGCCTGGGTGAAGCGGGGCTAATGAAACTGTAGTTAAGACTCTGAAAACCATAAGGTGATTAGCCTCCAACTAATGAAAATAAATGGAAAAAAAAAAAAAGACTCTGAAAACCTGGGAGAGTCCCAGTCTCTTAATGAAATTTGCGTAACAAAAGCTCCACTACGTAACAATGGTTTGATTCTTCTTTTCAAATTTCACAGCATTTACAGATCTGCTCTGCTCTTTGGGGTGGGGTAAAGCCAGAATACAAGGAGAATCTGGAGCACAGGATTTTATAAAACCGAGGACAGTCTGCATAAAATCGGGAGCAGGGTACCAGGCAACCCCAAAGGATCAAAGCGAAGGCTCGAGGCCAGTCTCTGTGTCACCCCTCCCCACCCAGAGTCAAAACTAACCTCCAACTGTCATTTCATTGTAACATGTCCACAATCCTTCACTCCCCAGCCTGCCCCGCGCCCACACAGCTGGAAAGCCATGGTACACAAAGCATCAAGGCGAAGGTAAGTCAGGGGCCTCACCCACAGGCACAGCCTGTTCCTCTCATCTCACCCCGGAAGCGCGATGGGATTCTACGAGGGCCCGGGAGCAAAGACCGCGCCTGGGTCTGGCCGTTCTCCCTGAAGGCAGCGTGAGTGGCCCCCGGGATCACAGGAAGGAAGCCAGGCGGCTGTGGGCATTCAGGAAAGCCTGGTTCAGCATCAGTTTGGGCATGATGCTACTTGGGTTTAGGGTGGTGCTCAGTTTAAAAGCAAATTCATAAAAAGAGAAGCCCAGCTGACCCAAAGGCTGAATGGATGATTTTCTTGAAGATCCGCTACAGTGTAAAGACAGTGTCCCTGCGTTTTCTGCCTCAAGCAAACACACGGTCCTGGAGGCAGCGCCAGCCTAGGTGAAAAAGTCCGAGTCTTCAGCAGCTTCGCTTTGCTTCCCCTCCGTACAAGCCCCTCCCAGCCCCCAAACAATTGACCTTTACCCACAGGCTGTGAACTTTATCTTCTCTGCTTCGTGAAAAGCAGCTTTGCTCCTAGGCAAGAGCATTTGGGGGGAGTGATAAAGAGCTAAGACTAGGTGGGAGACCCTTCTACTGCACACCCCACTTCTGCACAGACCGCTTGGTCCTGGAGGCAAGAGCACGAGAGGGCGTTTGTGTCCAGGCCTGAGAGCCCGCAGGCCCAGCCAGCCCCTCGTTCGGGTCGGGCACTCGGGCCTGCAGCCCTAGACTCTTCCCCGAGGTGCTGGGCGCATGCTAATACAGTGAGGAGGCCCTGGCAAACTGCAAGGGGCCGGAAGGAGTTAATTTAAGTTCATCTTCCTGCAAAATGAGGTCACCAGCTTGGCACATGGTGGCTGTCTCCAGGCACATTCAGCAGCCTGCTCCATTCTTCCACCTGATGGGGGGCAGAAGCAACCCACCAGTGGCCCCCCGGCTGGACGTGAAATCGTAAAGCAATTAATCAAACCTGCTAAAAGGCCTGGCTGACAAGAGCAGGGCTGGCCACACTATCTGTCACCAGTGCTGTATTTATCATGGAAATCCAGCAGGGGCCCAGGGAGGCGCAGCGTCTGTCCACGGGCTGTACTGGGGGGCGAGGGGCAGGGGGTGGGAGCAGGCCTGCCTGCGTGTGGCGCCCCTCACCCCGGCGCCGTTCCCAAGAAAACAGGAAGACCTCAGACCCAGCCCTTGAGGGAAGAGAGTTACAGAAAGACCCCAGCTATTGCCCCAGTGAAATATATCCTGGTTTCCTGAGGCTGCTCCTGGAGCGGTAGGACACAGCATCTGTGACTGCTGCATTCTGCTGCCTCTTTCTGCTGGGGATCGCTCAGGAGGACCTGATAGAGGACAGAGGGGCTGTCCTGTGAGCGCCGAGGCTTCACTGACTATGAGCAACCGTCACAGCGATGACAGCAAGGCTCCGCCAGCTCTGGAGAAGACACTTCCTGTGAAACTCTGATTGACATGATGGTTCTCAAAAAGCACAGAAAAACCTAGATCTGACTCTCGAACTCCAGGGCGTCAGCTGGATTTAACGTCATGGCAGCAGGCCAGCTGATGGTCTGGGTCGCATGTCTGAATGATCGCAGCATTTGGGCAGCTAACAATGTCTACTGAACACCTCCCAGCATGAATACGCCCTGCCAGAAAATCAGAACAAACTCACGGCATTCCTCCCAACTCTGAGAGGTTAATGACCAAGAGACAGCACAGATAACAGGAGATAAAACGTTGTAAGAGAGCATAAAACAGTGTCTGAGAGCGGGGCCCAGAACAGATTCTGGGAGACGACTGAAGGCCAGCTCAGGGGCACTAGCCACGGCAGCCTCGGCTTTCTGGGGGTGAAGATGTCCCCGGGCAATGTTCTGTGGGAAGCCAGCACGCCTCCAACAGCTAAGAGATGCCTGGTGATCACAGAAATTGGGGAAACTCTAGAGAGAAAACAGTATTTGTATCTTCCATATGTTGTCAAATACATACAAAAGGAATGAACTGAGAAGCAAAGAGAAAACCCGATGCTGAAAAAGAGTTTCCTGCCAGCTCAGGGGCTCGGCTTAGAGGGCACAGAAGCCAGGCCTACTGCTTCAGAGCCCCAGACCTGCTCTCAGCAGCCTTCCGTGCCGAGCCAGCTCAGATGGCCCAGAAACTGGTCTGCTCTCTCCCTTGCTTTTCAATGAAGGAAGGAGCCACATCAGCCAGTAACAAGGGTTTCTTACCTAATGTTCTCTAAACTCCTAGAAACAACTAGCAAATCAATTTTTATTTCCCTCCACAGGGCATCTGTTACTCATGGTAAACATGTTGAAAAGATAAAAGCCATTTTCACGTGTTGTGTCAATATAGACCCAACACCCAAATCCAGTAAGGCAAAAAATGACGCACTTGTCAGAAAGCAATCTTTGCTTGAGGAAATGACCTGAACGGTTCCCCCAAGCTCCTCGGAGGTGAGTTGATCCCCGATCAGTCCACTGACAAACATTCAAGGACCCCTCACCTGCACCTTCCCAAAAACCTAGGCTGCTTCAGCAGGCAGCCGGTCTCCCTTACATAACGTCTGTCTCCACGCGGTGATAAAGTACTCACTTTGTCCCGTTCATGAGAAGGCCCAGGCAAGGAGGGTGCCCTGGAAGGCAGCAGAAGCCTTGCACCTGGCCCCTTCGGTCAAATGTCGAAAATGGTGTTAACCTCGAGCTTCGGAGGTACTGGACATGTGGCCTGTCTGCCTTCAGGCCAAGCAGCCAGAGGGGGAGCGCCACCCCCCCGCAGCACTGCTTACCTTTGCCGATGACAAGGCCACACTTGTCAGCCGGCACAGTGTAGGTCACCTCCTGGACGCCCCCGGGGGTCCCCAGGCTCCAGTCGCCGCGGCCGCGGCCTCTGCCTCTGGCTACCGCCAGGCCTCCAAAGCCGTCTCTTTCCTGGGAAGGAAGAGAAGCTCAAGTGACATTTCTGCCACTGCCTCCAGCACTAGTTTTCCTCTCTGGGGAGGAGGCTAAGTGACAGGATGTAATCAAAGCCACACATTAGGACCTGAGCACCTCTCCCACATTTCAGATTCTGAAGTGCTCCTTTAAAACCAGAATTAATACAAATCACAGGAACATTCAAGGAGACATGTGTGGACAAATCATGTGGTTACATAAACAGCACAAACACACCCAACTAAAACAGGCAGTCAGGTATAAATTCTCAAGTCTGAAGCCCAATGCCTGATCCCAGAGTTTTAATCACGGGGCCCTGGTTTTCTCAGTGTTGAGCCTATAGCCTGATATTAGATGCTGAAGAGCTATGTATGGGCTGTTGAAAGTGACATGTGAGTGGCAAGGGTGACTTTGGGCCCTCCCCTAACAAGGTTGCTATAAAAAACAATAAGACACTGCTCTGAGAGTCGGAATACCTTGCAATCCCAGGTGGCGCTAGTGGTAAAGAACCTGCCTGCCAATGCAGGAGAACTAAGAGACGCTGGTTCGATCCCTGGGTTGGAAAGATCCACTGGAGGAGGAAATGGCAACCCACTCCAGTACTCTTGCCTGGAAAATCCCATGGACAGAGGAGCCTGGTAGGCTATGGTCCATGGGGTCGCAAAGAGTCGGACATGACTGAGCAACTTCACTTTCACTTTCTTTCCTGGAGAAGGGAATGGTAACCCACTCCAGTATTCTTGCCTGGAAAGCCCCATGGACAGAGAAGCCTGGCGGGGTACAGTCCATGGAGGTCACAAAGAGTCGGCTAAAGCACGGCACCTTGCAATCCAACCAGCAAAAAGAATAAAAGGTTCAAAAACAAAAGCAAACCAACCCAAACTGGTTCTCTCTCTCCTCAAAAGAAGGAGGGGAAGCCAGGCGCGCCCGCCCAAGGTCTGGGGCCAGAAGGGCCTCTGAAGTGTTCTCACCGTTCGCCCAGCAGAGAACAGGTCCGCATCCGACACCCAGGAGAGGGAGACCCCCTTCTCTCCAGGGCGAAGCAGCCGTTCCAGCCTCCGTCCCGTGAGGTGCTCAGGAGCGGCAGCCCTGAGAATCTTTCCAGTGCTGAGGGGGTAACCCGGTGGAGCTGAGAGCTCCCCCAGGGAAGGGGCAGCTCACAGACCCGTGGCATGGTGCAGAGTACGTGAATCGGCTGCCATCGGCCAAGAGTGAACTGAATGTCTACCGGGAATCTAGATCAGCAGGAAGCTGAGCTGACGACAGCCTCCTGCGGCACTCTGCTTTTATGAGCGACAGACGGCCAGCAAACAAGGTAACTTAGGGATCTACGTGAGAACACACACACGCAGCTGACTTTCTAGAACGGGATGCCTCGGGTTCTGGGAGACAGGGCTGTCTCCTCCTCATCTCGCAGCTTCGAAGTTCTGGGATCATCAGTTCTTACCACGAAGAAGGATGTCAGAGAGCAATCTGTGACTCTTCTCTGAACCGGCCTCATCCTAAGAACTGACTGGAGACTGTGGGCGAGGCCCAAGCCACTCCTCGATATTCTAATTCAGGAATCTGGGGTGGGAGGAGTCCATAAATCTCTAACCTCAGCAGGTACCCCCAGATGACTCAGGGGATCATGTGGGGTGTACCACCAGGTACAAACCGCCCCCTTGGGTTGCTGCTGAGAAAACTATGCCCAGAGGGGCTCAATGGCTAGGTTGCCAAAGGTTACAGGAGAGATGGCAGAGCTGGGATGGTGGCTTCTAACCTCTTGCTTCTTTCTTCAGCCCCTACTGCTCTCAGACTTTTCCCACAAACCTGGGGGACATGACATGACAACCAATCATCAGCTACAGTAGCTCCCCAGAGCAATGTGTAACACAGTGGGGGGAGGTGTCACACAAGCCCACTCACATTCCAGAGAAATGTGAATGTGAGCATGGAATCTGATGCCTGAAGACAGCTTTAAAATTCTGGCAGATCACAAAGTGCTTTCTAAAGCTAAGAGCAGACTTGACTTGTTTTATAAATAGGTGTGCCCAACCGTTTGAAACCTGGCCAGCTGCACTGTGAATCCCCCAAGCAGCTTAAAAAGTCAGGAACTTAAAGACAATCTAGATTCTGCAATAATAAAAATGCACAAGAAGAAGAAACTGGCAGGGAAAAAATAAAATGAAGGCAGTTAAAAGATAGATGGAGAGAAGCCGCTGGCTGTGATTTTGGAGGGAGTAACTGACGAGAGTACTGGTTTTCAGAAACCGGCCTTGAGAGGGGGCAACTGATCCAGGGTGCTTCTCCAGGGTGCGACATGAGAACTCTGCAGAGGCAGACCCACCTGGGCTGTGAGAATAAGCTCGCTGATGACATGTGCTGCGTGCTGGCATCGATCCGGGGGTCCCATCACCTGTGCAGCTCTCTCTGGGCTAATACCATCATCTGTGGAACAAAATAGGAGAGATGGGATTAGGAAAAGCCCTGCTTCAGAAGGAAAACAAACATCAATGTGATTTGCAGCCGGTATTCCTACCACCACCAAAGGAGTAATAAGAACACATTAAAAAAAAAAAAAAAAGAAGAACACATTTTAGGCAGGGAAACATGTATGGCTTTCTGCACAGTCTCTGTCAATCCTCATTTCTAACGCAATTACAGCCATTTAAAAGAGGTATCACGGAACTTCCCTGGTGGTCCGGTGGTTAGGGCTCCGCACTCCCAATGTGGAGGGCCCAGGTTGGATCCCTGGTCAGGGAACTAGATCTCACATGCTGCAACTAAGACACAGTGCAGCCAGATAAATAAAATGTTAAAAAAAGAAAAAAATTACAGAAACTAAACTTGAAAACAGACTTGAGCTATGGCAATATTTTCCAAATAGTAGTCTATCATGTCTTCCCATCTTCAGAGAGATGAGGAAAATACACTGTAGACAATTTTGCTCATAAAAGTAAATTGGTAACACTTAACGAACTGTCCTTAAGATTTTTTTTTTTTGGCCATGCTTTGTGTGATCTTAGTTCCCTGATAGGGACAGAACCTGGGACCCCCTGCAGTGAAAGCAGAGAGCCTTAAGCACTGGACCACCAGGGAAGTCCACGATTTTTTTTTTAATGGTTTTATTTTTAATTTTATGAAATAAAAAATAGGGTGTTTGCTTTTAAATCTTTAATTGGCAAATTAAAAGCTGGAAATGTTAATGTTGAACCCCACTCACTTAACTTTTACTGGTCTGAAGAAAAAAAAGAAAAAGGCCTGGACACTCCTGGGCTAGTGTGTTCTGGTACATGAAAGGTGACCCTGCCAGCAAATCCACAGGAAGAAACGAGGGCCGGAGGAGAAACTGGATTGGAAATATGGTGACAGAACGCTGCTGAAGAGAGAAGGGTGAGAGAGACGGCAGAGAACACACAGCGGGCTAACAAAACAAAGTCCGCGTTTCGTGAGCTGGTCTGTACTTCTTCATGATGCTGAGGATGTCGAGACTCATCAAAACCAACCTGGTTTGAACTGAATTCTCACACCGGCATCGTTCTGGATCTTTTTGATCATTTCCCCATTTCTTCCTATCACAATCCCGACAGCAAACCTAGGCACAGATACCTGAGCACAGAGAAACAAAACCTCATCAGCATTCTCCTGCAAACCTGTCTTTTCTGCAAGTCTGGTGTAAGTGTGTATACATGCAACGATTTTTATTACAACATATTTCTGGAAATGATACAATAAAGCCTATTTTTTTCTCTTAGGAAAAATATTGTAGTTGATGACTGTATTCCTGTCCATTAAATGCATCTAGCAGGTCTGAGACTTGATCAAAAATAGTTATAAAAATGAAGTAAAGCAAGAATAAACCTGATAAAGATTTTTAAAAATATTTAGGATTAAAAATTTATCTTCCAAATTCTATGAAATAAGCATAAATGTACCATACACGTTTGTACACGGTCCTTCACTCTTTTGTGGTAAAATACATGTGACACAGTACTTATCACTTTAACCACCGTAAATGTGCATTTCATCGGCATTAAATACCATCACAGTGCTGTGTAACCATCGCTGACGCCTATGCCCCAAACCTTCTCATCCCCCAATAAGCAGTCAGAATCTGTGAAACCACGGCCCCTGGTAACCTCTATTCTACTTTCTGTCTCTCTGCCTAGTCTTTTTTTTTTTTTTTAATATGGAACGCTTCACAAATCTGCGTGTCATCCTTGCGCAGGGGCCATGCTAATCTTCTCTGTATTGTTCCAATTTTAGTATATGTGCTGCCGAAGCGAGCACCTCTCTGCCTAGTCTAATGCTTCATGTAGGTGGAACCATACGACGTCTGACATTCTGCATTTGGGCTGAGTTTATCAAGCATCATGTCTGCAAGATCCACTCATGCTATAGCAACATCAAGGATATATTACAATCCCATTCCACCTCATCAGTAAAACAGGCTTAGGGGTTAGATACAATCACAACACAGGTCACCACAGAAACCTGGACTTTGGTCTTCATCTGGGCAGTGGGGTAAGCTTTGAAGCACTACCCCAAGCCAGGGGGAAAGACCCCAGTCCCTGAAATGCACGCAGCTGGCATCCCTCACTACAGTTGACACTCACTCCATACACCCCAGGAAGCAAGCATACTTGTCGGGTTTTGCAGATGAGACACGCGTTAAATAATTTGCTCAAGGCTGAAGGCCAATAGAATGTGACCTTTAACCTTAAGCTTGCCTACTAACCTGTAACTCAAGCATACCTCTATACTGCCTCCTCCCATTCGAGAGCTGAAGTCACCGCGCACACCTCGAAAGTCAGCTTGGTCTTTCTCTCGGATGATTTCTAAAACCATTTCTCTCGCTTGCTGCATAAACACAGATAAAAGGTATTAAGGAAAACAATCCTGAAAAAACACATGACACCAGGTGAAAGACTAAACCCTCTTACACTGGGCTCAAAGCCTTGGACGGTGCTCAGCTGTGGGAGAACGCACTGTGCTGTATGATTACTGTTGTTACACGGGACAGGGGCAGGCTGCTGGTGAGCAGCACAGCGTGCATATCACATCTTACGTGTCCACACAGATACGGGTTTACTGTCTGCTAACGCCGCAGGTGGGTCAGCAGACTTGGGCTGGGTCAGAACTCGATGACAGTCGTCCCACCACACTTCCGGTATGCCATCTCTTTCTGGGGAGAGGGGGTATCTGAGAGCTCTGACTGTGGGGTAGCTTTCTCAGGAGAGAAGCTCCGGGGAGGTCAAGGGAAGAGGTCAGCCTGGGAGCCTGCAAATACCTTCTGGCTTGCAGAGCTCGAGAGTCTCCTCCCAACTGGCAAGCCCATGCCCCACACCTATCCATCTCTAAGGCACAACCAGGGTCCTCCACCCTGGGAGAGCCCTGAGTCAGTCCATCCCACCCGGGCTAGCACCAGCCTGAGGAGCCGGGGCAAAGAAGCAACCACATGTAACAAGTCAAGGTCTTGTGGGAACCCAGAAAAGGTCCAGGTTCTAGAAAAATCAGATCAAACAACAAGAAAAACCAAAACAGCAATGTCCTAGGACATTTGGAGAAATTGGAGTATGGACTGACTGTAAGATGATGTCATGGCATTACTATTATTTTCCTAGGCTGCTTTGTAATAAAGAATGGAGCTTTACTCTTAGGAGACACACAATGCAGGATTTAGAGGTAAATGTTTTATGTGTGTGCTCAGCTGCGTCTGACTCTTGGCAACCCCATGGACTTGTAGCCTGCCAGGCTCCTGGAGTTTTTTAGGCAACAATATTGGAACTGGGGTGCCATTTCTCTTCTCCAGAGGACCTTCCCAACCCAAGGATTGAACCCTCGTCTCGTGCGTTGGCGGGGGGGTTCTTTACCACTGAGTCACCTGGGAAGCCCAGAAAAGTCACATGGTACCTGCTGTTTGCTCACAAATGGTAAAGCAAAAAAATTTAAAAATATATAGACACACACACACACACAAATGGTATAAGCAGGTTGAGGGTATTCAGACGTTTATTACACTATCTTTTCAACTTTTATATTTGCAGTTTTTCATAATAAAAAATTTGGAAGATTTAAAAAAAAAAACCAAAGAACAATTTAGCCTAAATACAGCAGCTTCTCCCAAATAAAAAATACAAAAAATACAGTTTTAAAATTAAAAAATAAATACTAAAAACTTTCCTTTATAAAAATTTTCCTGCAAATTCATGAAACATCAATGAAATAAGCTCTCTGCCCAGGTACCTTTTCTATAAAAAACAAAAGCCAAATGTTCCACTAGCGAAGGAAAGAGTGGAGGTTTTCTGGGACGTGGCCTTTCTGCTGTCCAGCCAGTTCTTCCCTCCAACCAAAGAGCTCTACGATGCACAGCAGTGGAGTCCACAGGCTGGACTGGATGAGCAAAGTGCAGAAGGGTTAGGTACAGTCTTTCTGCGTTTAAAGAGGCTGGAAACTCTGGGGGACCTGACGGGGCTGAGTGAAGGGAGAGTGTGAAGGGCCACGTTGCTGACGGGAACCTAAGCAAAGCAGCCACCGCAATCACCTGCCCTCAGTCCTGTTTTCAAACCATTGTTTTACATGAAGACCTTGACCAGAAAGAAGTGTTATCAGATGTTATCTACCAGGGACCATCATCTGAGCTCAGCTGAATGACAATATTAAGAACTAGGGGAAATCTTTGGCCAGAGGCTGGTAGCCTTGGCCGGCTCAAAGCCCAAAAGCCCCTACAGAGGAGAGCTGTCGCTGCTGGGCTGGCTCTCCAAGGTATGTTGCTCTGGGGCGATTGAAAATGCAGCAAAGGCCGGCAGAAAAACGAGCGTTCCTGTCTCATGGGGACAGACACGCTCCCATGCCAACTCCTGCCAACAGTCACAGAGGTGGAGGGCGGAGCCCCTGCCCACTTTCAGCGCTGGGGACAGTCCTCCAAGGCACACGGGGAGCCTGCGATGAGGGCACGCACGCGCCTTCCGTGGTCCAGGCATCTTTTTAGGCATCCCACCTCAGCCAGCTGTCTTGTCGAAATGGGTCAAGAGAACAAACCAAAGCCACAGGAAGCCTGCATCTGAGCTGACCACAGGTCAGCATCAGAAACTCCATCTGATCAGAGTTGCATCAGCCAACAAAACTGTGTGTCAGCTGCCCCCGCCGTAGCTGTGTACAGCTGGCTCTGAGCACTTGAAACGTGGCCTGTGTAAATAAGGGACTCACTTTTTATTTAATTTGAACGATTCCAACAGCCACTGGTACTGGGCAGCACGACCCAGTTCTTCTCAGCCTCAAACTTTGAGAAGACAGCTTACCTTAAATCAAGGACCACCCACCTTACGATTTCCCAAATGACATAAAAACACAACAAGTATACTACCAAGTGATGCCACCACATCCGGGACCTGCCTGACCTGCCGTTTCTCTCCTACCTGAACTTTAAACGGGTCTCCAGTGATGCGAAGGGGCTTGTCTGCTCCCGTGGGCAATGGGCCGTCCTGAATCATGACCATCTTCACGCCGGTCCGCTCCTGTGGGGGCACACAAGTCCTCAGCAGAAAGCCTACGGCCTCTGAGGACTGGGCTCTGCGAGAGCACACAGGCCACAACCCTGACCTGCAACCTCAAAGGCCCTGAGCCCTGAAATGAGAGCTTGTTCCTAACGCAATCTGGCAGCAAAACCAACCCACACCCACGGAAGCGCCCTTCCAGTCCTCCTCTCAGTGACTGTGACTAGTACTATGTTCAGCCGTGGGAATCTCCATCTGATTACAGGGTGAAGCCCCACAACCTGCTGGGGTGTTAGATCCTGAAGCACGCCTGGCCCCACGTGTCTCAGACGAGGGATCTGGAGCTCAGAGCAGTTCATGAAGCATTTATTCAGTAGTTGGCACCTCGCTCAGGGTCTCACGTATATTAAAAATAATGGGTAATACTTTAGCTCATGACATCAGTGAGGCCAGCACCTCCCTGCTCTTACAGATGAGGACCCTGTGCCTTAGAGAAGTACATGACTGCATCTATGACCTGACAACTAGTGAGCAGGCGTGCTGCTGGCTCTGGACACGGGATTTTCATCTGAGTCTCAACAGGCTTCACTGCCACAGTGGATGCTGCCCGTTCAGGGGACCTCAGGCCTTGGTTTCACAGCTGGCATCAAGCCTGGCCACAGTAAATATTCAGAACTGTGGAAGCCCCTGGGCAGAGGTTTTGGGGGGAGCTCTGCACTGTGGTGCACAGACAGCCCAGCTCAGGCAAGCCAGAGCCATGGCAAAACCTCCGAGCTGGAAGATGGAGGAAGTGAAGGCCTCCGGAAGCGCTGCTCGGCCAGGAGTCACGTACCTGCAACTGCTTTATCGTCTCCCCGCCTTTGCCGATGACCAGACCCACTTTTGACGCTGGGATGAGAATCTCCTGGATCGTGCTATTGCCGTCCGTTTCATTGTGAAAGCCGGGTCCATTCCGACAGCGGTCCACAATCTGCCCCAGGAGCCGTTTGGCTTGTCTTTGGGAGGGAGAAGAACCACAAGAGAACCAGTGGTTAAGCAAATGCTCTGGGTGCCCAGGAAGGGACAAACAGCACCGGGGAAACACAAGAAGGGGTCAAGGCTGCCCTCCAGCCAGCTCCAGCTGTTGCCCCCACTACCCGGGAGGTCTCTGCCATCCACCATGCTACTGGGCTGGAAGTTAAAAGCAACACACACCACAGGAGCAACGTCCCGCCACAGCCCCTCACGTCTGCCCTCTGCTTGCCCTTGTGTCTCATGTGCATGCCACACATGTGCCTGTCTCCTATTTGAACGTCAGCGGCCCTGGTGGCAGAGCCTACCTTTGATCCCCCCGCGTCTCTCTGCGCCCCAGTCCAGCACAACCCTCCTCACAGAGCACACGCTCAATGGACGGTGGTTAAATAAGGGCAGAAGAGAAAGCAAGGAGAAAGACAGATGAAAGAAAGAAAGCAAGGGTTAGTAGTCATCATCTGAATCCTCAAACTCCGAATTTCTTCTCCATAACCAACCAGACTGCTTGGGTGACTTTTCAACTAGGGCGAGGAGTCACCGGCTCAGTTTCAAGGGCAGGGAAGAAAAGGAGGCAGGGCCCCGGTGCAGCTGTATGGCCATGTACACCTGCTTTGTGCTTTTCGGATTGTCAAGAGCCTGCATTTCTCCTGGAATTTTATGCTGATGTACCTGGAGACGGGGCGGGGGTGGGGTGGGGGGCACTGTAATGGTGAAATAGTACAAACCAGCCTACTGAGGTCCTCTGTTGGGCCAATTTCCTTTTCTGTACCAGAATCTCCTCTGGCTGTTATCTGCAGTGTTTATTCTTTGAATCACCACGTATGATCTATTTTGTGGTTCCTTTAATAGCTACTAAACAGGCTGACTGTACTGTGCACTGAAACAAAAAAAAAAAAACGGTTTTCTACTCAAGTTTTAACCCCGCTGCCTCGACTGCTTGGGCAGAATAGGAAGCAGGAATGTTTAGAAGAGGAGGAAGAAGGCGAATGGCAGGAAATGGATGTTGCCTGTTGTAGTCCTGAGCCTTTGTGTAGAGTCAGCCTTGTGCATCTTCTCAGTTACAGCAGCTTTTTAATATTTTGCCTGTGTACTAGATTAACCTGCGTTGGAAGAAAAATGCCTTGACTCCAGCAAAAGCATCCTGCTTGCCCTCTAATGCACACCTGCCAGTGGTGTTTATTCTGGTTCACTGCTTCCAATGTTACAGCAGAACAAGAGAATTTAAACTCATCTAGACTCCCTGAGAAAGGGAAACAATAAAACAGTCCTACCTACTGAGCCAGACATAATCTCGGCACCCCTGTCCCCAGACGCGACGTTGCTCAGTAGATGGAAAGAGGAGACGGAGCAGACATGGGCTGAGTACCTCCCCCTTCCCAGGAGGTTCTGGGACTTAGGAGGCCCGCATCTGGTACAGGCCTCCGGGCCTGCGTGTACCGGGAGAGCGAGGCTTGTCCTAAGGCTGCTCTAAGGGCCCCAAGAGGCAAAACATCCTCTGTCTGGTCCACAGGGCCCTCTGAGTGGGGCAGTGGCCACCAAGAGTAGACTCACTGGGTTCACAGATATGAGAAGGGCAATGGGACCAGCCCCAGGCAAGAGACCTGATGTCAGGATACTCAACGCTTCCCAAAGTGAAAGGCTTTACTGATCCAAACCTGCTCAGGTAAAGGAGGTTATTAACAAGGAAGAAGTGAGTTAATGAGAGCATTCAGGCAGGATGAACGGACACTCTGGAGGACCTGCTCTAGGAAGTAGGTGTTATGACAGCTGTGAGAAATTCTGTAGGGTTTGGGGAAAAAAGGTGATACCTTATGTGTCTAAGGTAACAGAACAACTCCCCTGGCTTGGCAACCTCCCAGATCCTTCTCTAAGCAAGCATCTGCATTTCATGGCCAGACTGTGGCACAGATCAACACTGTTCAGTAACAATTCTGCCCTTCCATTTCTCCCCGGTTGGGGAAGGAGGAAGAAGAGTGAAAAGGAGAAAGTAAATAAAATAAACTTACTCAATACTTTCTGGGGTTCCGGTAAGTACACAGGGCCTCTCTGGAATCCCAGAACTCTCTACAAGAAGAACCAAGAAGACGAGGTGTGTTGGTGGGCAACGGGCAACTGTGTGCCTTCGCCTCTGTGTACAGACTGTCTCTCGGGCTGGTTCCTACACCAGCCCCACAGAAGCCCTGGCTCCCAGAAAAACAGTCTGCTCCTACTTGTGGAAAGAATATGAAGCTGGGAGCTTCAGCCTGGATTCTCCAAACGAAAACAAGTCCTGCAACAAGTCCTGCAGGGGGCAGCGGAAAGGACGCAGCCGTGGGCTCTGCGTTGGTCCTAATCACCAGCCTCCGCTTCGTACCTGACCCACGAGTGTGCTAGTAAGTGCCAGGGTCACTGAGCCCGCTGCTCCTCAGCCTGTCCGCCCGCAGTGGAGTTTAACGGGTACCTGCCGGCAGCACTGAGGCATACTCATGTGGAGTTTAATGGTACACACATCAGAGTTATTACCAGTAACTGCACAAATATTCCAAGGGAACAGTGACATCCATGTGGAATTGGTTCTGGGCCATTTGACAAGAGAGAGAAAAAAAACCTTACTTTCTAACACCACATAGGACACTTATTCTGTTCTTAAAAAAAAAACCTGCCCTGGGAGAGAGGGTCAAGGGGGAGGGGACAGATGTATACCTATGGCTGATTCATGGTGATGTATGGCAGAAAGCAACACGACGCTGTAAAGCAGTTATCCTCCAATTAAAAATAAACAAACAAGCAAGAAAAAAAAAACTACCTCTGAAAATTCATAGTCAAAAAAACGACAGACAAACGGCTAACACCAATAACTGCCTTCGAGACTCTGCAGAATATCTTTTAAAATGACAGACACTTCTGCCAGCACATGTCCTCTGAATCCTGTCCTCTGCTGTGGAAAGCGGGCAAACTCAGATGATGAAATTATAAATGAAACTAACAACTCTTCTTCCTCAGTTTGTGTCTCTCCATCTCACGCGGTCAAAATGACCCCACCGGGGAAGGTCCTGAGCTGAGCGCCACACGTGCTCACAGAGCCGGAGCCTCCAGCCGGCCCCTTCCCACAAAGGGCAGGGGCCAGCGACTCCAGGGGAGCGGTGAGCAGGCCCAGCACTGAGCCCGGCGCACACCAGCACCCCTCCAGGCCCCACGCTGCCTGGCGTCACATTCCGGGGCCGAACACAGAGGCCCGAGACCAGCAGGCGCTCGGGAGGGACCACACCGGGCCCAGAGCTGCAGAGGGGCCTGTCTCCCCAGGGGCCAGACGCGCAGTGGGGCTGGGACCTGCTGCTGCTCTGGGTTTTCTGGTTCTCACCTGGGAGGCCAGCTCCACTGCAGGGAAAACAGCCATTGCATATACTTACCAAGCCCCTAGATTCCTAAGCAACAGGCAGAGGTACTACGTCTGAAAAACTTCATAATGAAGACGGGTTTCTACCACACTGAGATCTATGAAAAAAGCAGCCCTTACCTGAGGCAATCTGAATTTTGCAACCAGATTCTGCTTGAATCCGTGAGATCTGCTCACCTCCCCGGCCGATAACTGAAACAAATGAAACAGGGTCAGAATATGCCCCTTATTCCACATTTAACCATGCACGGATGACTTCATTAACTCAACAAACATTTATACTTGGCTCACGGCACAAGAAACCAGCAATCCCACAGAACTTGTGCGTGAAACACGCAGACAAGAAAAGGTACCCCAGCTGAAGTTGCGGGGAGCCCATGGCCCAACATCTCCCCCCGCCCCCCGGCATGGAGTCCCGCTTTGGAGTTCTGAAGAACGCAGTGTGCAAAGCATTCTACTACAGGTGACAGACATGCCGAGGAGATTACAATGAACATGAAGGACAGGAATCAGGGAAAAAGTAGATAACGTGGATACTTACTAAATCCAACCATTTTATCAGGCACTTTGAATTCTTCTGTTATTACTGCCCTAAAAATAAAGAACATTTTGGAAAAATACACAGAATAAAGAATTCTGCAATCATTTTCGGCTCCCCAAACTTCCCATATTGGCAATCTTAGAGGACAGAGGCGTCAAATAAATCATGCCAATATGGCCAACAAGTCTACAACCATCTGCAAAGGCAATCCCCCTAAAGACCCCTTTGATCAGTCACTCCGTGCAAAGACCCAAGCCTCCCCTTTCCCTATGTCAGAGCAAGAAACCTCTTTCATGAAATCATCAGCTCCAGTAACAACTGACTTTTCTTTCTATAGTTACCCTCAGCAATGCTAAGCACCTGAAGGTTCTCTGAGGTGTGGGGCAAGCTTAGCCTCTGATTCTGGTCTCCCAGATGAAGAGAGACAGCTATTTGTCAACAGTCCTCGTTTCCCCATCGTTTTACTGCTTTCTGGCCACCCTCTAATTTATCTGCCTCTTGGGATGAGATGTCCCAAATGGAACCAGCATCCTGCTGAGGCCTAATTGGTGCTGACCAGTACAGAATGATTACCTTGCTTATTCCGCAAGTGACTTCTGTTAAATGCTACCCCATCCATTATGTGCTTTTTTAAAAAAAAGAACAACTGCTGCACCGGTTCTTTCAAACAGCTCTTCAGATTTTGCCATATAGTGTGTTGTGGACAATATCCAATTTGCCCAGCACCCCAGAAAGCAATTAAATCTAAACATTTACCTTAGGAGGAAAACTAAATGCAAGTAGTTTAAAAGAAAAAAAAAAAAAGCAAGCACTTTCAAACCTCCCTCACACAGCTGGATCTTTACCCATCACGTAGAACCCTGGATCAAGTGCATGTTCTCAGGGAAGGTGCAGAACTTAGAAGAGACGCGGCAGCAGAAACAGCGCCGCCGCTGGAGCCCACGGGCTTCTCATGCTGTCATCCTCACGCTACACATGCACGAGGCGTCTCTACACCCCGGGACACGTGAATTCACACCCAGGCCAGCGGGATCCCTGGCGTCCTCAGCAGTTAAGACTGTAAACGTTAATGCCAGACCTCAGCCGGCCTCAACGGTCCACTGGACGAGAGGCCAAGGGGCCTGCTGGGGCGTCTCCTGGCGGTGGTGAGGGGTCACTGTGCTCCTGGACGCGGAGCCACCAGGCTGCTGCTTGCACGTGCAGCACAAGGTGTCTACTCTCAGGAGACAGTCCTGGGGAATTTACTAGAAGGCGGTCAGCACCAGCCCCACTCAAAAACCCAGGCAGCTCCTCGGCTCGCAGAAACAATTTTAGTAGACTGCCTCTGAGGGAAAAATGTAGTTAAGATGAGCTGCCCTGGGCTTCCGGGAAGACAAGGCCTTATTATAAACCCGAGGCTGAAACTGCTCTAAGGCACGAAGTATAAATGTCTTGCAAAGTAAAATCCTGACAAACTACGGCTTTATAGGAAAGTTACATGTGATGCTAACACAACCTCAGTTAAATGACTGTATTTCAATTCATTAAAAAAAAAAACAAAAAAAACGAAGCAGATAAAGAAACAACAAAGTCACTAGGATAGTGCCTGGCGACTTGTGGAAACTCCTAGACATGCAGAGAATACAAGAGGCTGTAACTATCACCAGTGCTGAAGGTTACAGATAATCCGTCACAGTAACAAAAATGCAGCAATTTCACCCCAGAAGCCCTCCCCTGTGGTTTTCCTGTATATTTTGTTCTTTTAGAAGGGTAACATTGTGACCAAAAATATCCTGCCTTACAGACTGGCCTTTTTAAAGCCCAGAGGTCTCTGTATCTCTCTAAATCGTCCATGCTTATGGGCAAGTGGTGGGGGGAAACTGAGGAAGGGAAATCAACCGAGAACCCATCCAAGGTTCTGGGGTGAGGCTTCCAACTAGGGTGGGGGCACCCAGGCTTCCACATCCTGGGCCCTGACTCCTGGAGTAACTGAGCTCCATCTTGGGAAAGCCCAGTCAAGTCATACTTCTTTAGCACGGCTTTTCTCAGGCAAAGAGGTGAATGAGTCACAGAACATGGGGAAAACCATCAAACCAGGAGGACAATTTTCACATTCTCTACTTTTAAATTCAACATATGTGGGCAGAAAGAGCAGCTTCAATATCCCAGAAGTCTTTTCAGTTCAGTTTTACAATAATGGTTGATTTTTAATACCAAGTATCAGTTTATCCCTTCAGCTTACACTGTCTTGAAAAGGGCTACAAAAAAAGTTCAGTCTTAAAAAGAAATCTAGCCCATGGTTTTTCACACTCTCAACCTCTGACTTTCTCACACTCTAGTACAGATGGTGGATCAATAAACAATTAGAAATGATCAATAAATAATAAAACATAACCCACTGCTTACCTTTGATGTACCAAGGCCCCTAACTGGTTACCTACTGTGGCAAAGAGAAAGAGAAAAGAAAAATCAAAGCATTAGCACGGATAAACTAACTTCATCCTTACACGACTTCTTACCATTTCAGAGGGAAAAAAAAAAAAAAAGAAAGGCAGAAGGAAAGCAAACAGTAATTTAGGCTCAGTGGCTGAAATGAATGCGTACATGATATGAAACAGGAGGGGATGTCGTGATCAACAGTCTCTACCCCAGTGTCCAGCTGAACGCAGGATAAGAAATTGATCTGTGTGTCCACATGCTGAGCAGTCTGGGATAAAATCCTGCTCACTAAATCCCTCTCACTTCCTACCTCCCTCCCGCCTGGGATCCAAACTCAATGTAAAGATGGCCAGGGTCCCTTCTTTCCCTTTTTAAAACAAATGAGAAGATTTAACCTTCTAGTTCAGACGCATTGTTAAAGACTGCTCAGTGGCAGCTGCAGTTGCTAAGAACGTGCACATATGTTCCTGCTGGCCATGCCACGGGGCATCCCCCCCACTCTCCCTACCCTCCCGAGAGCATAAGCATCTCAAGGAGAGGAATGAGGAGCTGGCCTCCTCCCTTCTTGGGCCTCTTTGCTGAGCCACCCTTGTAGTCCAGATGCCGTGGACGCCAGGAGTGAGCAACTGTCTTTCAAGCCCATTTCACAGAGACGCCACTGCCCAGCAGGCTCTAATTATGAAAACCAAGCCTGCAGTTACACTCCCACAACGCCACCTCAGCCACACTTCGTGTTCATTTCTCCTCCTTCAGCTACTGATGAGTGTCTCCACCAGCCATCAGCAAAAAATGAATCTGCGTCATTTCTCTTTGGAAAATGCAGCCCGGGAAACACAGTCAGCAGACAACGAAAAAGTATAAATCTCAACTGCATCAGGAAGAACTGAATGAATATTACAAAATGCTAACAAGAGCATTCAAAAATATGTCTCCTGGCAAAGTTATAAGGACACATACACGCTAAGTGGGGAAGAGTCAATTACATCAGCCTCAGAACAAAGAGGGACATGTCTGACATCTGAAATTTAGGGCTCCAACAGCTCCTCTTTCTGCTTGAACTTAACCCTGTCATTCTCGGACCGCAGGGGAGCTGGTCGTAAAACAACCAAGGAAAAGAAACCAGATCGTGATGTTTTAAAAGGAGAAGAGAAAGCCTGGAGAAACACACAGCAAAAAAGTACAGAAAGCTACTGAGTCAATATACCATATTTCTTCCTGATCAATGGCACAGTAATGGTCTACAGCCAAAACACTGACCTTATATACTCTTACCCTGCTTATCTCAGAGATAACAGCATTGTTTTTTATCAACTCTTAAAAATTTTCTTTCTGCGCTTCCAGTCTGAATATGACAAATGCCCTCGCTCCGCGCACACTGTGTCCACAATTCCTATTCCGTGTGAAAAGCGGACAAGCACCAGCTCGAGAAAAGACTACTCGTCACCCACTCAGGCCCTGGACACTGTGAGAGAGGATCGCCCACAGCAAAGGCAGCTCACATGAAGACAACACGTGGAAGGAGAAGGTCCATGACAGACTGCCACTGAGTCTGGTCACCTGTTCCTATTTAAGGGTCACGCTCAGCTTCCCTGCTCACAGTCGTTCTAGGGGTAAAGAAACCAGTCAGGACAGAGAAACTGCAATGTCTTGAAGCGATGCAGACACCAAAGAGCGGGGACGAGTCCCTGCTTGGGGCAACGCTGCCGGACCTTGGCTCAGGGTCTGCCACTCTATCTGATAAGACGTTGTCAGGAGGCCGATGATCTACCGACGCTTCAGCTAGAAAAGCCGGCAGTAACACAGGAAAGGGTAACACTGCCATAGAGGACTTCATGAGATTCACGAGAACGTTTGGAGGGCTCCTGGTCAAAAGCCATTTGAAATTTTGTTCTCATCAAAAAAAGAAAATTCCTTTTTGTTGGCAAAGTATGTGTCACGGCTGTCACGCACACCATATCATTTCTGACAGCCAACTGCTCCGGCAACACGTGGAGGTGCTTAGAGATGGAAAATATGAGGGCGTGCACTGTCATCCCATGAACGGACGGGCTGCTGGGGGCCCCCCACTGAAGAGTGAAATCAAATTCAAATCCACACCCAACCCTTTAAGTTGCTGGACTCTTTATTCAACAGCACAGATCGTCTCTCTTCTCCACGCAAATGCAACAGCTCAAGGAGGAAAAGTGTGATTTGAAGTTTCACTCTCTTCTGAAACATTCCTCTTTGGTGCCTAGAAATGAAACCCAGCAGTTAGGTAAGGGACACTGGCCACACTCATATGGCAAACAAATAGAGGGGGACTTCTCTCTGTCTTCAGGATGAACAGGGTCAGACGAGGGAGGCATATGGGGATGCCGAGCAAGCTCGATTCAGCAATTACAGTCATTTTACTGTAAAAAAGGAAAAATGCTGAATAAAATCAGTCCTACTTCCTCTTAATGGCACCTCCTGGTCAACCATGGTTCACCTGGCCTCCAAGCTTCCTGGCATATGTGTACAGGTACACACACAGGTGTGGGTCTCCTTTACCCTGCACGCTATACAACGGGAAGCCACCTGGGTGATGGAGACGAGCTTCCCAGAGAAAACATCCATGAGAAAAAACAATATAAGAAATCCTTTCTGGAGAGTCATCCCCTGCCAATTTCAATCATGATCTTTGAAAAAAATAAGGCACTGGACTAATTTTTTTCACCTTAGAGAGAAGGAAAAATAGTCTCCATTCACTGCCCCGCTCCCACCCCGACCTGCTCCAAAAAATGCTAACAAAATGTCACTGGGGAATACACCCAGTTTTATAGTACACACAATCTTAATGGTTAGCACCTCCCCACCCCCGCCACCTTGCTTCAAAATAGCCCAAGGGGCCAAGTGCCCAGCATCGCCTTTAACATTGAAAACATACACACACAGCAGTGGACCCAGGAAAGTGAGAGGGCAGGTCAGAGAGGACGTGCCCACAGTGCTACCGTGACCAGCAAAATAAATAACCAACCAACCAACCCTTCCTCTTTAGCCTCAGAACACCATCCTGCGCCTGGGCTTGGATTCCCAACTCTGCAACTCTGACCAGTGCCTTTCTGAGCCCTGTTAAGGTCAGCCACACCAGCAGTTAGCTGCAGCCACTTCTGCAGTTTCCAAAGCAGTTTTGAAAAGCTCTTCTCCCCAGGACAACACAAAGGCTTCCTGTGTTCTAATGCAGCAACTCATGCCCTAGGTCCCACAACACACTGACAGGCTAAATTCAGCTGAGAGTCCCTAGGCAAGTAACCGGTTACTAATTTGACAAACTACTACTTAAACAGTGAGAGTAAATCCAAGTTTATCTCAATAATGTCACTCTCAGCTGCAGCTCCGTGACGGGAAAGGCCCACCTCTAGTCTCCAAGGGGGCTTGTCTAGGTGCGTCCCCAGCAGAAACCCACTCAGTCCCACAGCACCCTGGGAGGCAGAGGCTGTCACTGCCAGTCTCATCTGACTGATGGAGATGCCTCAGAACAGGGCACAGGTGCTCAAATGCCTGCACCCAGGTGACCCCCGCGCCGTCTTTCGGTGTTGGGCACCACGCTGGGTCTTGGGCATAAAAAGGTGAGCAAGGTCATATTTGCCTTCAAGAAGTTTAGAGTCCATCTTCCCTGGTGGTTCAGTGGTTAAGAATCTGCCTACTAATGCGGGGGACATGGGTTTGACCCCTGATCCAGGAAGATTTCACGTGCCTTGGGGCAACTAAGCCTGTGTGCCAGGACTACTGAGCCCGAGCTCTAGAGCCTGCGAGCCACAACAAAAGCCACCACAGTGGGACGCCTGGGCACGACTCCTGGAGAGCAGCCCCTGCTCTCCGCAACCAGAGAAAGCCCGAGCACATCAACAAGGACCCACACAGCCACAAATAAACCAGCTTAGAGTCCAGTGAGGAAAGCAGCAGGCTCTACAATGAGCAGCAGCTACCCTAGTCTCCAGGGGCACCTGCACCCCTCCCCAGTGCCAGAGCCCAGCCAGGGGTCTCTGGAGGGAAACTAAGAGGAAAAATAAAGTGTGCGATGCTTAGTTATAGCACCATGGCTTATTTTCATTTCATCCAGGAGTAAAGAAACCAGTTTGGGGGGCACAACCAATTTTATTAAAAAATGAAATAGAAAACAGACAGGACCATATATGGATACACATTTGGGATATATATTTAATAAGCTTTGTATTAACACAGTTACACGCATGTTTTAGTGAGCGTGCGGTGACTAGTTCTGATGGCAACATGGAGCCCACACCCTCTGCGTTGGCAGGGGATTCTCAACCACTGAAGGGAAGGCCCACGGACTCACCCCTTTGGAGGCGTGTGAGGACTTTGCCACTCCTGGTGATGAGCCATCAAAAACTAAAGAAGGGTGCTGGCAGAGGGGCGTGGAAAGGGGAAGGCCCCACGTGGCATCCCCAGGAGACACGATTCTCAGAGAGCCGTCCGTTTAAGAGCAGAGGGTGCACAGAGGTGCAAGAGCTGGAGGAGGATCCGTGAGCCCGTCCACGCCCACCCACCCTGGGCGGACGTCATGCACCCCGGCCTAAAGACTACTGCTTGACAATACCCCTAATTTCTTCCCCTGCGACTCTTAGGAACCGAGTTTCAGTCTCGGCTCTTCATGCCCGCAGCGTCCACTATGACCCCCCCATGTGAGGAAAACAGCAGCAGCTCCAAGGTACACGTTCCTCTCCTTCCAAAGTAGACGCTCCCACCTGAGGTGGTGTGGGCAGGGGCAGAGGTCTAGACACCCCGGGCAGGCAGCTGCAAGAACCAGCCCTCACCACTCCCGAGCACAGACCTCTCAGCCCTCTTCTCTCTCTGAAAAGCCTGGAACCTCAAACAATCTTTCCTCCTCACTGTTTTTTCCTCCTTCTCCTTTGCCTTATCCATAAGCACTGAAATGCAACTTGGAAAGGACCACACACACACACACACCCCTTCCAATCTTCCTGTGAATGATTCATTTGGTAGTGTACCTAAGAACTCTCCTTCCTTTACTCCACACGAAGAACAGAAATGGTGGTGAATCTACAATGGTCTTACAAAAGTACCAGAGGTAAATCTTTGATAGAAAAGGCAGGCATATTTTCAAAATCACTAGCATAACACCCCACAGCCCCGCCCCTTGCAATGGCAGGAATGGTGCTTTACTTACCCCAGGTTCTAATTCTGGTGCCACTCTTCACAGAAAAGACAGGGACAGTGTGTGGTCTGTTTCATTCAACTAAAAAAGCTCAGGGGGACATGAGGACCTAAAACTCTCCCAGGGTTAAAAACTTGGGTAAGATGCTCTCGTTGCCCCTAGAAACACGGAGGAGACAGTGGGAAGAGTGTCTCGTCCATCTGTCAGCCAGCTCCACAGAAATGTCAGAAATCACCTGCTTTCTCTGGCAGTCAAGAGTTGGATAGCGGAACCTGAGACAGGGAGGTTTAAGGAAATTAGGGAGGGGGATCCCCCCGTACCCCTTCCTAACTGAGGATTAAGCAAGTGTCAGAGTTAATTATTTGATAAGGCTGGCCAGAGGAGGGCCGGCTTCCCATTCTTGTAAACAACCAGTTACGGGGACACAGTCCTGCTCACTTGTTTACGTGCGGTCTAAGGGCTTTCGAGTGCCAATGGCAGAGCTCAGTGAGGGGGATCAGAGACCCTAAGTATGGCCTACAAGCCTGAGAAAAAGTTTGCCAACTTCTGATGTAGATTAAACTGATATCTGCAATTCTAAATCACTTAGCTAGCTCTGTTCTCTTAAATTTGGAGTTTACTCTTCACAAAATTTCCTACGTGCTCATCACAGAATACACAGAGGTAGAACTTGGACATGGAGCGTTTACTCATTGCAAGGGCGAGGCAGGGAAATCAAGAAACCACCTCTCTGACCATGGCATGCGGAATCCGGAAGGAGCAGGAGGTGACAGTCTCTGCCTCCTGAAGAACACACATGGGACGAGCCCCAGGAAGAGGACGGGTGAACTGCTGTCGAAGTTTAGGGCAGAGTGCCATCTCTGACTCCCTCCTGAGGCAGGCGTGTGAAAATGGGAGGAAGAGGGGGAACAGGAGGGCTGAGGGAAACCAAAGCGGCGAGGTGGCGCCTGAGCAGGGCGCTGACCAGAGTCGCAGGTGAGGAGGAAGACAGGGTTCCAGGAGGAAGCCACGGCCGGTCCGAGACTGAGGAATCAGCTAGGTAAAGAGAAGACCCGCGAGGAGGCGGCCGCAAAGTGCAGAACGGGGGAGCGGGCCTAGAGCGCAGGAGGCGGGGGTCACGTTAGGAAGGGCTGGGTCCCCGGTTACCGGAAGCGGCCACGACTCTCACACCAGAGATGGAACTGGTTCCGAGAGTCCAGCGGAAGCCTGAAGAAGGTACTGGATGGGAATGCGGTCCCACGGAGACCCGCAGGGCCCTTCCCGAATCAGTAGGCGCACCGCAAAGACCACGAGAAAGCGTGGTGCCACGACAGATGTTCAGAGTTTAAAGGACCCGACCTGAAGCTGGAGGACAGCAGAGTGCTGCGCCCCCCAGGCCGCGGACCGAGGCCGGCCCTGGGAGCTGGGCGTGAAGCTCGTGGGTTCCAAGTGGCTCCTGAACCGGCAGTCTGACGGACAACTCCAAACTGCCTTGGAACACAACGACCCCAGATCGCTTTCTGCATCAGGAACCAACCCTTCCTTCTGTTTTACTGCCAAGCACTGTTTAAAATCTCCCCATTCATTCATGAGCTTGCATATCCCAACGTCCCGAATTAGCCCTATGTTAAGGTTGTTTCTGTTTGACTCACCAGCTGCAGTACTTTTAAACAGACCCAAGTAACACCTCCAAAAAACCTCTAGGGGACTGCACTTTAACCTCCTAAAGGTCAAAGAACCCGGCTCCACAGGAAAGTTAGCAAGTTCACACTGCTGAAGCAATCTGCTGAACTTCCGTCAAAAAATGTCTGAGCCAAACCAAGCAAAAAAGGAAACTGCGAAGTCCTGGGAAATCTTTATGGCTGAGGAAAAAGGGCCGGGATTCCTGCCTGTCGCTCGCCTCTGCTTTTCTAGCTTTCACCTCACAAAACAGTGAGACTGTGATCCTTAGAAAGCCATCTGATAAAACATGAGCATCTCTTTCCACGACGGGCTGTTTATCTACGTATTTGTTCATGAGGACAGAACAGGCCCAGTGACCTCAGCCCTGTCAGGGGACAACTGACAGGAGGCTGGGGCAGGCCCCAGATGCCCAACTCTCCCTATGCTCCACAGCACATCTCAAATTCCACACAGAGACCAACTTGGGGGAAAAAAAATCTGCTATCTAAACAGAAGAGAGGATTAATTTTATCAAATCGCAATGCTGAGGGAAATTTCTTGTAGTTCAAAATACAGTATGCTGTTGTGGTTAAGAGACACAGGCTTGTGGGTGACGAAGACGCAGGCCCAGGTGAAAAGGTACTGTCTCAGTTCCTCCCTACTGAAAGCAGACTTAACATTTCGGAGGAGAGAAACTGCATTCATTCTTTGATCACAAGAACTGAGTCCTCCAAAGGCAGACATGCAAAAAATTATGGTTCTCAAAAGAGGTAACGATGTACAAATAATAATGAACTGGAGTTTCAAGTGAGAATCTGGACTTGCTGGTGACTTACTAGCTACATTCTTCCAAAAGGATGTGCAAAGGATTGCATGCATGCACGCTCAGTTGCGTCCGACTTTGCAACCCTATGGACTGTAGCCTGCCAGGCTCCTCTGTCCATGGGATTCTCCAGTGAAGAATACTGGAGTGGGTTGCCATTTCCTACTCCAGGGGATCTTCCTAATCCAGGGATTGGACCTTTATCTCTTACTGGGAGAAAAAAAGTCTGCAAGATGCCAAAGATTCCATTTGCAAATTTTTAGGCCCTCATTAGGCAAAGGACATAGCCATACTATCCTCTATAAGCACAAGTTTTACACTTGAACACCATGCAGTGGGTGAAAACAAGGCTGAGAGCTGTGGAATGCACTGATCTCCATTTCTGGAAACGGTGACCTGAGAGACACTGTCCATTAACGATACATATGCTCAGAGTCAGACATTGGGTGTTATTTCTACACTGATGTCCCCTAAGGGAAACTGAAACATGATTGCCCCAAAAAGGTAGAAAAGGTTACTCTGCACGACAGCTTTCTGCTAAGGCAAAAATGCAGACAATGAAATCAGTCATATTTAGTCTAAGACAGCACTGATTCCAATCAAACGTAAGACGACCACAGCGTACTGTTTCAGAAGTGGAAGTGGAGCTGCTCAGTAGTGTCCGACTCTTCGCGACCCCATGGACTGTAGCCCACCAGGCTCCTCTGTCCATGGGATTTTCCAGGCAAGAATACTGGAGTGGGTTGCCATTTCCTTCTCCAGGGGATCTTCCCGACCCAGGGATTGAACCCGGGTCTCCCGCACTGCAGGCAGACGCTTTGCCATCTGAGCTACCAGGGCAGCCCCTACTGTTTCAGAGGAGCAGTGTAAACGGTCACCTTAGTCCCAGTGGCCCTGGGGAAGAGTTTGTGTGTGTGCTCATAAACACTGATAATTTTCTTAAATAGACAAGAACTGCGACACCCAAATTGAGTGTTGTGCCCTTAAAATCTGCACTGTGAGAGTCTATACAATTATTCCACTTATAAAACCCATGGCCATCTCCTTTTTGAGAATCCTCAGAGACCAGAGCAATCAGTCATGCCACATTACATTTTTTTCCAAGAACATAAAACATGCACCTTTTTTTTTAAGAAAAGGAGATCACATAATACATAATGCGGTACACCTTGATTGTTTTCATTTACTACCATACCACAGAAATATGGACATACTGACTCGGTTGGGCACATGTGCAGGCTGAGAGGACAGGGAGAGGAAGCACTGGCCCAGCCACCACGTGCATATTCACAGGCAACCCAGCATGTTACAGGGTCCCTTCACAGCCCCACTTTGTGGGAGATGGAATATGATAGGGGAAGTCCATGTGCTCTGCAGAAACCCATCTGAGTCTCTCAGCCAAAGTGCTGGTAATACGCACTTCTGAGTGGTCTCAAATCCTTTTGGGGATGAGTAGGGTATATAAACAAACCAATGAAATAAACAAAGGAATGAATGAAAGAGAAATGGATGCTGCTAGCAAGAGCCTGTTATAAATGGGAATCGTGAAGAAAAAAAAAAAAAACCCAGCAGAGAGACTGAAGGAAGGCCACGACTCCTCTTTCCTTTCTTTAAGGTCAGTATGTAGTCATAGCTTCCTCAGAGCCATGCCCCAAATCTCAGTTTTTCTTTGGAGAAAAGTGGGAACTTCAATTCCCACACGTGCACTGGAATAACAGAGGGCTACATCAAGCAAAGCTCCAAGCAGTCAAATTACTTCCGAGCTGATGCTTTAAGACTGTCTTTTACCCTCTCGCCCAGCTGAAAAGATTTCCTGTATTATCAAGGCAAATAAGAACTCAAATGCTGGAGAATTGCTGAGGAAAATCATCTTAAATATTTCCCCTCAACCATTCTTCTTTAGAGTGACGCTGGGGAAAGCTGTTAAGGAAATGGCTGACACAGATTTCAACTGAACCGGCAGGTTCACTACCACCTGAAAGGCAAAGGTATTTACAGCAACTTACCTCCATCATCCAAGGGCCGTTTCTGTACTCCATAGCCATACACTGAGGGGTCCACTAGAGGTGTGGAATTATTCAAGTGAGGAATTGAATCAATTTTAGCAGCAATCTACAGAGAGAACCAGATTTAAATACTCAGTAACAAATCATGGCTCCACGGAGGGAGGAAGACAAGAGTCTTCTTTAAAGGGCTGTTACCCCCATTTCTCCACCCGAAGGAGATTAATTAAAGCAATGTTACAGGACAAGGACTTTGCACTCCTGAGTTTTCTTTTAGTCTAAGTAATAATGTGCCTTTTGAAATGACATTTCCAAAACCTTGTCTTCCACAAGCAAATTTTTAAGTCATCACTTAAAATACAGCTATACCACATTTTAAGGAAAAAAGCAGGCCAACAATATGAAGAACTTTGTTCAAAATATTTTAACACAGGGTTTCCTTAAACAAATTCCCCAGCAATATTTAAAAGGCCATGAATTTGTTCAAATCTGACAGCTCTTTAGGAATATGTTTGTCATCTTAAAACTTCAACCCCTATAAACTGATGATGAAATATATGGAAACATAAAACAAGCTGCTCTCACTGGAAGTCCAAACAGCAGGGGGATGACCGTCTGTCCTGGCTAGTTTGGAAGGATTCCTGCTCTGAAGAAATCAAGATAACCTGTGAGTGCTACTTTAACTTTTAATATTTACCTGTCAGTTAAAGAACAGAACACAGCTATTAAATTTCCTCCAGAAACAGATGCTGTGGAGAGCTCCCTACACTTATCTACTAGGAATTAGGGATTAAATGTGATGCTCACATAAATGAACTCTGATTTCAATCAAAGGAATGCTTACAACTGCTCTTGATGTTAGTCCCTCAGTTAAGCCTAACAAGCCAGGGTGGATTAAGGGACAGCCAGCACAGATGTCCCAGAGCAGGGCCTTCAGAGGTAGCTTTCCTGAGGTTGTTCAAATGTGCCCAGAAATCTGACAGCTTCTGGAACCAACATAAAGTACTTTAGACAAATAAACAATCAAAGACAGTCATGATACTGAAAACCTAAGGCAGAATTTAATGTTAAGTACCCTGGATCAGGACTCATCCTTTCATTTACTAGTTCTGTGATGTCGGGCAAGTACCTTTCCTCTCTGCCTAAGATCTTCTGGGCATAACACCATCTGCTTCATAGTTTCTGGAAAGATAACAACATACTCTGAACACAAAGGAGCTTTGCACAAGAAGGCATTTCATGGATACCAGGGCTGTAAGACAAGGCAACTCACCCAACAAGGGCTGAGGGCCTACTATGTCCCAGGCTCAGTGGTGAAGAAGACTCGGGGGGACTCACAGGTACACAAGTTAATCAATAAGCTGATCATTTCAGCTGCTGACACACACGATACTAACTGAAAGGCCTCAGGAGGACCACTTTAAACGGGGTGATCAGGGAAGGCTGCTGTGATCTGAGACCTACATGATGAGGAAAAGCGTTCCAGGCAGACGAAACAGCTTGTTCAAGGCCCTGAGGCTAGAGCAAGCTTGGCGGGTGTGAGCCTGAAAGAGCAGTCCACGTCACTAGAACAGAAAGAACCAGGCGTGTCCCAGGAGATGGGCGACGGCCTGTTCACGCAGGGCGTTAGAGGTCACCGGGAGGGCTTCAGTTGCAAGTATATAGAGAGAATTAATTAATTAGTGCTGCACCCCCTTGGGTTCCCTGACCAGGGATTGAACCTGTGCCCCAAGGAGTGGAAGCATGGAGTCCTAACCACTGGATTGTCAGACAAACCCAGGGCTTGGGTTTTATATGAAGGGTGATGGGAGGCAACTACAAGGCTTAGTAAGAGAAGTAACTTGCTGATTGATGATTTTAAAAGATGCCCTTGGACAAGGAAAATAGATTATAAGGGGGCAAAAGTAGCAAGACCATTTAGGAATTATTCTAGGCCAGAAGTCAGCAAGCCATAGCTGGTGAACTACCTGTCTTGGTAAATAAAGTTTCATTAGAACACAGCCACACCCATTTCACAGAGATCATATGCTGTGCAGAACATATATATGTATATAATTTAATATCTGAACTTAAAAAAAGAAAAAAGAGTTTGCCCTGTCAAGGCTACAGATGATGGTAGCCTGGATAGGTGCTTGTTTTAAAATATTATTTTAAGTTAAAGACTTGAAGTTAAAAGAGACTGTTGATAGAAACTCCATCTCCTATACTCAAACTTCAAGGTAAGTGGCCATTTGTTCTAAAACAAAATACTGTAAAAATCTTGCCTAACAACATTCTACCACCAACTTGCAATCTTGCTCTCCATATTTGTTTTGGATAAGCTAGTAGAAGGTTGGCTACTTACTTAAGATGCAAAAATTATCTTCAAGGATTCAGCTGTGAAAGCAAGTGATTAAAAGGTGAGAATACTGCAGTAGTTTATGCCCCCACAAAGACCCTTTCATTTGCCACAATGAACTGAGCAGGTAAATGGCTGATGTGGGGCTTTCCAAGATTATTGGTTTAAAGACAGACCAAAATATTGGCAAGAGACAGTGAGGATGACCCCGAAACACAGGTGAAAAGAGTGTGATTATCAGTGGAGTCCCCCAACAGCAATGCGTGCCCAATCACTCTCAAAGAGACGATAAGCTCTACATATTTGGCACATTCTCTATCCACTTTTTTTTTTTTTTAATGTGGACCATTTTTAAAGTCTTTACTGAATCTCTTTCCATATTGCTTCAGGTTTTGGTTTTTTGGTCTCAAGGCAAGTGAGATCTTAGTTCCCCAGCCTGGGATCAAACTGGTAACCCCGGCATTGGAAGGCAAAATCTAAACCACTGCAGCACCAGGGAAGTCCCTCTCTACCCTCTTCTGTTGATGTCTCCTGGCTTCCAGAACTTCTTCCTTCCTTCCAAAGTAGCCAAGATGTTACTGCTGAGTCCTTGGCCTTCCTTATCATTTATATAGTATGTTTCATATAGTTGCCAGAATGTCACTTTCTCCCAAAGCTGAGATATTAAATGGTTACATTACAGTAGCTTTTCTGCTTCTACCTTTGATTAAATCAACAAGCTCCTAAAACATGACTGAGGATTTCAGATTTGTTTTTAAATCATGTTTGCTTTAGGCAGCTATAAATTTGGGAAATTTTCACTAAGAGAAAAGTAGAACAGGATAATGGTTAAGAGTTGTAGCCCTGAAGTCAATAGCTGCACTTGAACCCTGGCTAAACAAATGTTAGAAATATTTTAACATTATAATACACAATTATATCATAATTTACATTGATATTACATTGTATATTACAACATATTTTGTAATTTTTATATTTAATATTTTTGTAATGTAATATTTCTTTATAGCAACAAAGAAACAATGTATTTCTTTATTCAAACAAATGCAACCTTGTTCTAAGAAATGATTTTAAATGCCTTCTAAAATAATAAGAGTTAAAGTGTTAGGAGTGCTTACTATGTCTAGGCACTCTAAGAGCAGTTTAAAGATGCTATCTCTTTTCTCTCTCATGATGATTCTTTAGGAGGTTAGTAGTATTATTTCCATTTTAAGACAAGGAAAAGTGAAGCTTAGAGAAGCTGAGTGACCTACCCACAATCACACATCTTATAAGTGGCAAAAACTGTACTGAAGCACAGGCCTGCCTGCCTCCAGAGTCCATGCTACTAATCACGGCACTAGGCTAACTAACCCTCTTTCTTCCACCTAATGCTTTCTTAACCAGAGTCACTCCCCAAGGACTTAAAGCCTAATGAGTTCCAGTACACAGAACTCCAGCAATTCATCATGTCTGTAACTGACCATTCTGAACAGTAGCTGCTTAAGGGAAGCAAGGTACATCTTCAGTTAATAATGGTGTAGGCCAGAAAATAGCCACAGAAGCCAGGATAATCCAAGAAGAAAAGACCATGCCAGTGCTTATCTGAAAGCACGACCTTGAGGGAACGCTGGTACTGATTTTCTGCTACTTGATTCATTTTCCCTCCTTTCTGGGGGTAAGGCGGCAAGAGTGGGTTACCTCACTACCTGTGCTATTTTAAGCATGGTAATAGATGAAATATTTATAAATCAATGTCATGACATTTAACCTCCACTGCCAGCAGCTAGTGGAAATGTGGAGAAGGGAAGGGGAGCACTGGACCAGCAGTCAGTCATGAGTCTGGCTTTTCTAGCCGGCCCTTCCAGTGTATGACCTTGGGCAAGACCTCCACTTTCAAAGGTCTTGCTCCCTGAAAAATGCAGGAACAAACTAAACCACTGTTTTCCAAGGAGCACAAGGCAATTTGGGGAGGTGCATGGATGAATGTTCAAAAATATTTTAAGTAAACCTAAATTTTACAATGACTTTAAAATATGAAGTAAAAAGAATATTGAGGGTTCACTTACACATTTCACTAACATTAGGAACCAGGGCAATAAATTATTCCCAGTGCACATCTTTAAGTTCTGTCATCAGAGTCGGTCACCCTATAAATCCAAACCGGAAGCTGTGTCTCTTTTCACAACTTCACATTCAGTAAAAGTTTACACTAAATGGAATCAGGCAAGGCCATCTGAACGGCAGCAAGTCATCCACACGCTGTGTCTGGGCTACTCAGAGAGTCACTGTTGACTCTCATAGGGGCAGCAAGCAGAGGGGACAGCTCACACCACTACTTGGAGAGGAGGAACCCAACTTGTGTCCCTGGAACCTCTGCTCTAAAGTCGCCCCGAGTGGCCCTGCCCTGGAGAATTCACCCCTGGCGAACTCACGGGCTGGATGGAAAGTCTCTACTCCCAACAGCTGGAAGAAACAGTATGTAGCCAGAGCAGTGGAACCCAGTGGCTAAGAGTGAGCAAGTCCCAGAGGGCAGGGTCTAGAGCCACGGATACAGAGTCAAGTTCACGATGTAGGTTACTCTGAAGACAGATTGTATATCAAGCTTGTTGTGCACTAAGTGTCCGATGGCGCCCTCATTTAATCTTCACAGTGACCTCAGAAAGTAGCTACTAGTCTCAATTCTGTGGGGTCTGGAGCCAATCTGCCTGGAACTGTATTTGAGGGAATACCAACATAGTAATGTAAGGCACCCAGAACAATGCTGGGCACACTGTAAGTAATGAGGAATG